GGGGGGATGGAGAGGGAAGGCCCCGGGGCTCAGCTCAGTGCCTGGGGGGTCAATATTCTCCCCCCTCTCCCCAGGGCCGTTGTTTGGAGGGGATTTAATTAGCGTTTCCCTGATCCGGGCGGATTCACTGGGCCCTGCTTCCCATTTGGGAATAACAGGAAACCAGCTCGAGCCAGTTACGGTGGAATAAGAGGGAAATATGGGTCTAATCGAACCCAAAATGGGTCTCTCCAACCCCACACCTTCCCCCGAAGACCCCAACCCCCCCCCGTGATCCCGGGGAGCCGGGATATTCCCAGGAAAGGAGCCGGGATGTTCCCAGGGAGCCATCCCAAGCTGAGAGCGGGGCTTCTCGCCCCCCAAAGAGCCAGAAAAGGCCTTTTTCTACCCAAACCCTGCCCTCCCGGGGAAGGCGGGGGCTGGAAAAGCCCCGACGCGGCAGAATCCGGCCCAAATTCCCGGGGGAGGCGATTTAGGGAGCAGGCACCCACCAGGAGCTGCTGCTCCGGGCTCCGAAGGCTCCGGCTGGAGCCGGGGGTGGAATTCTTTCTGCTCCCGGGGCGGGGATCAAATTCTCCCCGTCTTTGTTCAAAAACCCCTTATTTCTAAAAATAAACCCGGCGTGTGACCCCCCCGGGGGCGCAGCACCAAGGACACGGGCAGCGTTATTTGTTCCAGCTCCACAAAGCAAACCCCGATCCCCTCAAACCCCCATCCCCTCAAACCCCCATCCCCTCAGCCACACAGACTTAGGATATTTATTTTTTTTTCCTTCCCTCCCGTGAAGGGGAAGTTTGTTTCCCGGCTGAAGGGAGATTTTGGCAAAAACCGCCCCTTTTGAGGGGCAGGAGGGAGGGAACGAGGCGGGAAGGGCCGCTGGGGAAGCCACAACACAGAGTTTTTGTCCCCGCCGGCTGCCCCCGCTCTTCACATTTACAAACAATAAGCACAAATTTCAGGCAAAACCCAAAAGCCAAAGCTGACAGTGTCCTTTTACAGGCGGGAAACGCCTCCAGGTCTTAAAATCTGCCTGGAATTGCTTTAATCCCAGCTCCGGCGCAGATTTTTAGTTCAAACAGCCCCAAATTGTCGCTGTTTTGGGCACAAAAATAACAGCGAGGAAACGCCAAAGTCATCAATAACCAGGACCAGAGTATCTCCAAATATTCATTCATAAAAAATAATTATTAAAGCCTTCTCCGATACATCTTTTAGAACAACAACAAAAAAAAAATTAAAAAAAAAGAGTCTTATTTATAAATATAGCTACATTGGTTATAAATAAATGCACTTGGATTTGCAAAACCCCAGCGAGTCTCGGGAGGCCCTTCCCTTTCCAGAGTCACACGAACCTCGGGCCCGTCCCACTTTTGCCAGGAATCGAGTGGTTTTAGGACAAAAAAGCGGTTTCCTCTTGGGGTGAGAAATTCCTTCAGAGCCGTGTCGGTGCATCCGGATCCCCCGGGGACTCCCTGGTCCCTGTTCCCTCTCTGCCAGTGGGATGGGGCTGATCCATCAGCAAAGAGACACTCAAGGCAAGAGAAACCTTGAGAAGAACCAAGAAAAAACCGTCTCCTCCGGCCACGCTGGGGAAAAGGGGGGGAAAATGCAAGGCAGGGACCAGGACATTGAGTTATTGCCTTAAACGCTGCCAACGCTTACAAAACCAGGACAAAAAACCCCCAAATCCAGAAACTTGGGGCCAGAAAAGCTGGATTTTTATCCGGTGAGATATTCCCAGGGAACAGGCCAGCCCCGGGGCTGCACCTCGCTCCTCGCCTGATGGTGTTTTTCTAAACTTTACTTATTTAGGGTATTTTTTTTAAAAACTTGACCGGATAATCCTTCGCTACAGAGCCCCACACGGTCACTGGGGGTGTCTCCAACCACCCCCCTGCTGCCCTGAAGCTGGGCTGTAGGGAACAGATCCCCAAAGAGTGAAAAAAGCCCCAAGGTTTCAGTAAGAAGGAGATGAGCTGCCTGTTTAAAAAAAAAAAAAAAAAAAAAAGAGAGAATAAAAAAGGGGTTAGCATCTTTAAAAATAAAACCTGTTGAAGTCAAAAAGAACAGTGACATATGGATCTCCAGGAAGATCCAGGCTCCCAGGCTGTCGCGCAGCGCCCGCCGTATGTAGAGCTCTGTGTACCCAACCCCTGAGCACAGAAGGGTCCTATCAAATGTTTGACTAAATATGAGAATTTAGGAGGAATTTTGGCCATTCCTTTGGGCAGCTGAGGGCTCTGAGGAAGGGCTCCCCCCAAAGTGTGGTATTCCCTGATGATGTGAAACCCTCCGGGCTCAGACACCCAGCCCAGCCCTCGCTCTTGCATCGACGGTTGCCTCCATTGAAAAGATTGGTGGTTTTGGAAGAAAAAGAGTAATTTGGTAATTTCTGGCTGGAAGGGGAAAATCCCTAAGAGATGACTCTTTCTGTGGGGGGGATCCAGTGACTCGGCCCCACAGAGGGGAGCAAGGCCAAGGGTTGTTGCAGGAATTCCCTCTGCGCTTCCGAGAGCTCGTGCCGGTGGGATTTCTCTTCCCCTCCCCGACGTGGCGGGTCCTGACGTCACCAAATGAGCCCCCGGGTCACTCGCTGGGTAATATTTTGTTAAAAAGCTTCCCACCTCTCAGGGTGAAGCTTCAAAAGCACCTTTGGGCAGGTGTGGATGCAGAGTTGAAGCGGCTGGAGGAGCTTCTACCCCTGGCGACGGGGTGGCTCGGACACCAGCCCTCTGCTCCCAGCACCACCTGCCAACAGCACCTTATTTAACAACAAAAAAGAAGCTTCTACCCCTGGTCACGGGGTGGCTCTGCCACCAGCCCTCTGCTCCCAGTGCTGCCTGCCAACAGCACCTTATTTAACCAAAAAAAAAAAAAGTTATTTTCCTTTACAAAACCCCAGGGATTTCCTTTACAAAACCAGGGATTAGGAGGTAACAGTTTCCACAGCGATATCCGTGGGCTGCTCCGTTTCCAGCATGGCCAGCACCGACTCCTTGATGTCTTCTGAGGCCACCACAAGCGGGTGGGCCTGGGGGACCCCTTCCAGCAGCGTCACCTCGTCCCCGTTGGGCTGTGGCCTCCCCATGGCCGCCAGCCGCAGCCGGTACTCCTCTGCCTCCTGCTCCTTCCTCAGGAGCTGGCTGCGATACTCCTGAGCCTTCCGGTTGGCCTCCTCCAGCTGCTGCTCCAGCACTTCCCTCTCAACACCATCCTGCAGGGGACAAAAGGGGACAGAGCCCACCACGGGTGACACGAAGGAAAGGGGGGGCTGCGGTCGGATCTCCAAGGCTGGAAGCGGGTGGAACCAAGCCCCAAGAGAAATAAGGAGGGAGCCAGACTCTTTTCAGTGGTTCCCAGTGAGAGGACGAGGGGCAACGGGCACAAGTTGGACCAGAAGAGGTTCCACTCAAATCTGAGGAGAAACTTCTTCACGGTGAGGGTGACAGAGCCCTGGGACAGGCTGCCCAGGGAGGGTGTGGAGTCCCCTTCCTTGGAGATTTTCAAGCCCCGCCTGGATGCTCCTGAGTAACATGCTCTAGCTCTGGGCAATCCTGCTTCAGCAGGGGAGTTGGACTAGATGATCTCTATGGTCCCTTCCAACTCTAAAATTCAGTGAAATTCAGTGAAATTAGTGCTGAGAAGCAGAGAAGGGATCGAGAAAAACCTTCTCCCTCCCACCAGAGCGATGGGAGAGTCCTTCCTGCTGCTTTACGAGGAGCCCTGACTTGTCTCACACCCAGCCCACGCGTTGTGCTTCCATGGGAAATCCCAAATAATCCCTGTGAACCACCACCATCCATCTAAACACCCTGAGCTACAGGCAGAACAGCAACGAGTGACTTCCCTGGCTCTTCTCCCCCCGACCTACACTCGACTGAGCATCACTGCTCCCAGCCCTCGTGCACTCACTAATGCAGGAGCACGGGCAGGAGGAGCAGGGCCCCTCTGAGAAGAGCACAGCTCGTTTTTATTCTGGGATGGCTCTGGCAAAGCCCAACATCCTCAGAAAAACACGCAGGAGATGACAGCAATCAAAGCCAGGAGCAGGAATATCTACCTCGTCTTCCTTGGAGTCATCTACGTCTCCTTCCACTTTCTGCTTCTTGGCCAGCGGCTTTTCCTCCTCTTCTGCGTCATCCCTCTCTTCAGTAACAGCCTCTTCTGCAACCTGACCAGCAGGTACAGTTAAAACTGAAAAATTAAAAGGTGACAAGTTATACAGTGCCAGACACACTCTCGCACAGATGTTTCCCAAAAAGCCTTCTCCAAAGTCAGTGCATCAGCGCCGTTGGGGAGAAGGAGAGAGGAGAGCTGTGGAAGGAGAGAGGAGAGGCTTGAGTGCTGTGTCCAGTTTTGGGCCCCCCACCATAAAAAAGACATTGAGGGGCTGGAGCGGGTCCAGAGAAGGGCAACAAAGCTGGGGAGGGGTCTGGAGAATAAGTCTGATGAGGAGAGGCTGAGGGAGCTGGGGGTGTTCAGCCTGGAGAAGAGGAGGCT